TCTGAGTGACTAGATGGGATGTCCTGCTATCACCCTGAAGTGAAATGAGTCTTTGATACTAGACAGTTTTTGTTTTATTCTCATCTAAACACAGAGGGAGGATCTTTTTTGACTCTACCGTAATGCATAGGATATTCGCGCACCGCAATATCACGTGAGGGCTGGCTTGACTAGGTTTTTCCGAGTGGAGGCTGGCTTGACCGCAGTCTAAACTAGAGAGAGAATCGCTGTCAAGGGGGCTACAACTACAACAAGATGAACATATTTGACCGTGATTTAATTGTAATACACGTTTCAAAATGATGCCGAAGTAACAACATACTGATACCGGATAGTAAAAACCATGAATTAAGGCTTTGACAAGTCTGCAGACAGACGGCAGGCGAAAAACCTTTTAAAATGCGTGTTTTCTAATGGAGATTTGGCTAAGCTAACGTTTAAATGCTCCGACCGTCCACACTCACAACAACGGCCTATACAGACATAAATAAACCAGCGACTGTATTCGCCATGACAGAGACAGTATGTGGTTTGTACTTGTTTAACTTTTGTCAAGTTTCTGAACAGATATGAAGAGCTGTGAGCTCTGAGTGCTAAGAGCTTACGGCTGTGTTGTTTTTCTGGGGAGCTCATTGAAGATGACGTCACGGCTCCGCCTACACTGCGTTACTCGATACTACCCCAGTTCCTCACGAGTCTAAAAAACAACTCACGTCAACGCACGTAAGCAACGTGGGCGCCGAGTGAGCGCCCTCGTGACCAAAATATTTGACGGCGCTGATTGGCTGAAATTATGTTTCGGCGGCACAGTTTACTATTGAGACTTTTGCAACGTGCTGGTTGCTGCTGTTTGGCTCGGGGGCAGCACCCCGTAATGATAAACTAATGCCAAGGGCAAGGCCAGGCAGGAAACATGTGACTTATCAGTAACTTTAGACATCGTAACACAATTTTAAACAAGATTTTATTGTAAATTATACATTTTACTGATACCAATTGTATGATATTTACCTTGTTCATTAAAATAAAAATATAAATATATATATTTTGAAATATATATATATTTTTATATATTTTTTTAATTTAATATTTGTTTTAATATTTTTTTTTGTATGTGGGAAGAGGTGGGGCGGCGCCCCTAGCGCCCCTATGGGCCGGCCGCCACTGCCGGTATGCCATTTGGAAGAGACAGTTTTTCAATGTTGTTCTCCCGCAAAATCACTTTCAGTCTTGCAGACGGCGAATCAGCCATGGCAGTCTGAGAAGACAACACAAGCACAATAAGTTTTAAGAAAGGCACATTAAACATAATTCCTTATTATTCACACTGTTAATGTATCATCTTATAGATGTGTTATCAGTTTTCAGTAAAAGGACTACAACTTTGTGTAAATCCCTTTTCCACTGGCGGCATTTGCTGACTGGACTCCAGCACATATTTAAAAAATGACATAATGCCCACCCTTACCCTCAATGTTAGGTTCCTTTTAAATAAATGAAATCTGCAGTTGACAACTTGTATGTGCAAAAAAATTGAATGTTATCATTTGAAATCTCCAAAGGGTTGATAGTTAGTCTTGCACCAATAACAAATATGTATAGGAAGGAAGTCATAAAAAAACAAATATATTGTTGTTCTGCAGGTGAAGCATTAAAACTCTGACCACTCAAAAAAAGCCCACACACTGTTTGAGTGTTCTCACAAATTATTTTCTGATATTTACCTAGTGTAATTATTTGTTGGTGAAATGATAAATAAAACCTTTGAAAACCAAAAAAAAACACTGGTATGAAATAAATCTGTTTTGAGAACACAACAGTTATGAATTATTTATTTTTCCACCTAATGAAATATCACTTTTCGCTTCCTCACCCTTTAAACATGGACATATCTTTTCAATGTGACAAGACGCATCCCTCGGATTTTGAAGTCTGCCAGTGGGTAGGGATTATCTTGTGGCTCAAGAAGTTCCACTTCCTTGCCTGGTGACGTTTTGAGATCATAAACTCTATAATGTTCAATGTACCATCCACTGAGCTTTTTCACAATGAAGATCAACTTGTCCTGCAGTATCACCATTTGGAGGATTTCACAAAACTCTGGGAGTCCTCCCAGTGACCCATAGATCAAGATCATCCCACACTTTACTGGGAGTATCTTTGTAGGTAAAAAATAATTTCTATACTAGCTTTGGCTGAACTCTAAAATGAATAACTCCACAGAAAACAAAACAGTGGATTTTGTCCTATAATCACCTCCTGCACTTTGCGTTTACGTTGTAATTACTTTCAGAACACACAGCAACATTAAAGTACTCTCTATATCACTCACAGTAGTGTAGCTTCACGTACCTTAGGTAGTAGTCCAATACGATGTGTCAAAGTCTGAAGAAACCACCACCGGTCAGGCATGGAGAAATCATGAGAAGAAAAAGAAATACATTTATATTAGGGGGGACATTTCTAATTGTTGTTAAGCTTTCACAGTCACGTATTATCACCCCATACGTAGTAATGGTCTTATCAGCAACAGCAAATTACACTACAAGCAGTGGCGGCTGGTGGTAAATATTTTTGGTGGGGCTATGGAAATGGTGACAAAACCATACTAGGGCATTTAAAATCAGGAGACTAAATACGAACATTGTGTGTGTGTGTGTGTGTGTGTGTGTGTGTGAG